TGTGTGTATGTGTATATGTGTGAAGATGTGTGTTTGTGTGAGGATATGTGTGTGTGTGTATGTGTATATGTGTATATGTGTGTGTATGCAGATGTGTGTGTGAGTGAGTGTTTGTGTTTAAGTGTACAGACCAGAGTCTGAGCTCCCTTCCTCAGCTGTTCTCCACCTTATTTTTTAAGCCAGGGATGCTCACTGAACCTGGAGCTCTCTGATTCAGTTACACTTCGTGTCCGGTTAGCTCCAGGGATGGCTCCCATCCCATGTCTGCCTCCCAAGCACTGGGACTACAGCCGTGTGTCACATCCTGCTTCTTTATGTGGGCTTTAGAGCTGAAACTCTGGTCCTTGTGCTGTGTGGCGAGTGTGTTGCGTGGCTGGCTGAGCTGTCTCCCGGCCCCCCAGGAAGAGTGTGTTCACTATCGGCCCCCCAGGAAGAGTGTGTTCACTATCGGCACCCCAGGAAGAGTGTGTTCACTATCGGCACCCCAGGAAGAGTGTGTTCACTATGTCTCCAGTTCTAGCTCTCGGCTCCTTGGCATGAATGCATTTACATAGAAACACTGAACTAGCAACTGGTCCTGTGTCTCTGCTCCTGCTGGTCACGAATCCCTGTTCATTGTGACCCTTGCTGACCCATGAAGATGCCAGAGTCCTGATCACACACAGTGGTGACAGAGCCAAGCCCTCAGCATGTCCAGCCCCTAGGCCCCTGTTGTCAAAGTCATGGTCACCCAGACACTCAGAGTGGGGATTTGATAGTCTGTTTTACTGCCCACTGGCTGGCTGCCCTCATCCATGACGGGACATATGGTCTGCCTTTGTTCAGCTTTTTGAATTTTAAAAACTCTCTCTGTTGCAAATTGAATTCCCATGTGGTGCCCATCTTGGGGTAATAAGGGACGGATTTCCTTTCTCCTTTAAACTTCAGTTTTGAGACTTTCAGGGCACACTGTGACTCTCAGTCTGGAAGTGTTCTCTGCCATCAGTCTTTGAAAGGAGAAGGCAAGGCCTCGATTATGTAATGTAGTTGTTCAATAAATTATTTATTTTAACTCTAAGTCTATAAAAGGCTTAAATGGATATATATATACATATATATATATATATATATGTATATATATATGTATATATATATCCATTTAAGAGAGAGAGAGAGAGAGAGAGAGAGAAGGAAATCAAAGTATCAAAGTGTGGGAGAGGTTAAAATAGGCAAGTTGGGAGGTACTGTGTTCAGCTGTTGCTAAGAGAGTCCAGAAGTCACAGTGGCCTCAGCATCACAGATGTGCGTTTTTCTCTTGCATAAATTAAATCTAGAGGGAGGAAGCCCATAGTGCCACAAAACTGAGGGCACAGTTAAATCCCCCCATTATCCTGAGAAGGTGACACCCACCACTAAGTTTACCTCATATTCTACAGGTGCTCAAATACAGCTTCTTTTCAGGCAGGGAAAAAAAAATCCCTTACCATCCTGATTTTCTAAAGAACCTTCTTGAATGTTTTAGCCCCAAACTTCCATGTATGTGTGTGTACATATAATTTCTCAGAATATAGTCTTAACTGCAAAAGGAGAAAACTGAGATGAAGCCAGGATCTCAGCTGGTTTACAAAACTGTCTACTCTAGGGGCCTTTAAGGACTGCCAAGGACCAAATGCAAAGTTGTGTTTGTGTGTGTGTGTGTGTGTGTGTGCGCGCGCGCGTGTGTGTGCAAATCCAGTTCTCCGGGAAGAGAGATGTCTCCTTTCCCTGATAGCAGGTGTTGGGAAGGAAACTGCCCTCGAGGCTGACTGAGGAAGACATGGCACCATTGAGCGACATTCACGCAGCATGTCTGCAATTATGGGGTGATGCTATGCTGGGATTTACTTCAAAAATTCAGCTCGAGGGAGTGGGCGTGGCTGTAGCTAAAGCAGATGGGCAGCGGCGGCCGCTAGACTGGGTAACAGAGACAGACTCGCCTTGCCCTTGACTTAATTTTTCTGTATATTGAATTTTTTTTTTACTATGAGAAAAGTTCAACCGTGCAGTCATTTCTTTGCTTTTAAAACGTTCCTTTTCATAAACCCTGCTTTGAGTTCATCTGACAGGCAGTCTCTGTTGTAATTACGCCCTCATATTTTAGGCTTTTAAAAAAATCTGCTTTTCTTATTTATTGATGTATTTTTAACTTCTATCTTGAGATACCACACATACCATTGAATTCACCCTTTCAAAGGGCACCACCTGATGGTTCCTCCCTGTTGTGTGACCGTCCCTACAACCCAGTTTTAGAACACTCCTGTACCTCTGCATGCCTACATCCAGGAGCTCTCTGCCCCTCACACTTCCCCACACTCAGCTGGGCGCCTCCCTGACCCTTGTGTCCCGTGCCCTGCCTCAACCCACCCTGGGCATCTTTCTCTCTGTCGAGTTCTAGAATCACTGCCTTTGCTGCCGCCCCCTTCCTTAACATAATGCCTTCAAGGTATTGCCTTACAGCTTAGGGCAGTACTTCCTGTCTCTCATACTTAAGTGGTCTATGCCACCCATATTTTTACTGTTTAGCTGTCAGGTAATGGGTGTGTGGATGGTTTTTAACTAGGAGCTATAGTGAGTAGTAACATCACAAACCTTCATTGGCAAGTTTCCTCTGTGTGTGTGTGTGTGTGTGTGTGTGTGTGTGTGTGTGTGAGAGAGAGAGAGAGAGAGAGAGACAGACAGACAGACAGACAGACAGACAGACAGACAGACACAGAGAATCCCAGAGAAACAGAGAAATGCAGAAAAAGACAGAGAGATACAGAGAGAGACAGAGATGGGGGGGGGGGGACGGACAGGCGTGTGATAGGGCAGAGCTTGATGGTATGTGTGTCTTTAAGACAGAGTCTCTCCATGTTCTCCTAGTTATCCTGAACTCACTCTGTAGACCAGGCTAGCCTTGAGCTCTCAGAGATCACCTGCCTCTGACTCTCGAGTGCTGGGATTAAAGGCCTGGGCCACCACCAACAGCTTTGTTCTTGTTGTTTTTTAAACTGCACATTTCAGGCAGCTGTCAGTGGCACACGCCTTCAAACCCATCACTCAACAGAGGCAGGCAGATTTCTGAGTTTGAAGACAGCCTGGTCTACAGAGCCAGCTCCAGGGCAGCCAGGGCTACACAGAGAAACCCTGTCTGGAAAAACCAAAACAAACAAACCAAAAAACCAAGTGCACAGCTTCTCTGAACATTTGCTTTGTGTATAAATCCCATAGGTTTCTGCCTGGGATCTGAATGTTTTCAAAAGTACTCGCTGGGTTTTTTATTTGTTTGTTCGTTATGAAGTCTCTTTAGATGCTGGGATTTCCTATAAGCCAGCTGTGAGACATTCCTATGCACAAAGATTTTGAGCAGTCAGATGTGAAATGACCACATGAATTGTCACTCAAAGATCTGGGTGTTTTCCAAGGATAATTTTGCTGGAAGAGTGAGGGGGAAGCCCAGCTGCCCTGGTTTCATTCCTGGATAAAAGATCTCTGTAGTCAGCCTTCCTGAGCTGGACTCTCAGGTCCATTTTCACCAGTCGGTCAACCTTGGAAAAAAATCATCCAATCTCTCTGTGCCTTTGTTATGTCATCTATACAGTGGAGATGGGACTGGAGAGATGGCTGAGCAGGTAAGAGCACTGACTGCTCTCACAGAGGACCTGAGTTCTGTTCCCAGCACCGATATAGGGCGGCTCACAACTGCCTGTCTCTCCAGTTCCAGGGAATCTGCTGTTGTCTTCTGTCCTCCACGGACACCTGCACTTGTGACACACAAGACAAACACACATAAAAATTAATGAATAAGATGGAGTCCATTATACTTCCCGTTAAGTCTGGGATGCACACGCACACACACACAAACACACAAACACACACACACACACACAGGCTCATGTGTTTGAATACTTGGTCCTCAGCTGGTAGCACTGTTTTGGGAGATTGCAGAACCTTTGTGGCATGGGGCCCAGCTGGTAGAACTGGGTTATAGGGTTAGAAGTTGAAGACTGTAGGCTGACCCCATTTTTGGTTTAGTTCATGTAAGAAACCCACACAGTGTGCTCCTACAACTGTGAGTGGAGCCACAGGAGTCAGAGTAAGCCTCACCTTCCTCGTGGTTGGGCATTTAGTCCGCTGCAGTGACCTGGTGCGCCTCCCTGTGAGATTTCAGGGGATGAATAACACAGAAGATGAGCAGGGAACTCAAAGGGAGCTGAGTGGTGGTACACCAGTCTAGCACCCACAAAGCCTGGCTTTGGTTCCCTGAAAACGCGACAGAATAAAACTCAGACATCACTGTCAGGAGCCTGACTTTCTCCATCTTCATCATGTCTGCCATAGCCCATCAGTGTCAGGTGGATACAGCTCACAGAGGGGCGTGGCACCACACCATTGCTGGCTCTCCCGGCCCTGAAGCACTAGCTCTGTCTTCTCCCATGTGCAGGATGAACATTTCTGGAAAAAATACTTACCACTTAAGGAATGTGTGAGCAGGTGGAAAGTCATGGGGGTGGGAAGGCTTTTGTTATGGGATGCCATCTGACAACACTGAATGCTGCCGGGCCTATGGAGCCACTGGAATGCTCTTCTTTGCTGGTGGGATACAGAACCTTAAAGCCACTGAAGGAACCCCTTTGGAAGCGTCTTGTTTGTTTGGTTGGTTGGTTGGTTTTCAACACGGAGTTTCTCTGTGTCATCTTGGGTGTCCTAGAATTCAATCTGTAGACCAGGTTGGCCCCAAACTCACAGAGCTCTTTCTGTCTGCCTCTGCCTCCCAAGTGTTAGGATTAAAGGTGTATGCCACCACTGCCCTACTAGAAGCTTCTTACAAAATGATGCACACCTGTACCACCCCGCTCAGTCAACATTATCTTCTTTGACTTGATGTTTACCACCCCTTTCCCAAAAGAGAGAGACCTGGGCAGTATGAAGGATTCTGAAGCAGAGAAATAAACACATGTGGCCACTCACACTCATAGTGGTGACACATTTGCCGGAGCCCATAGCCCATTGACAGCATGCACACTAAAATTAGGACAATTCAGAGGAGATTCACATGGTCCCTGTGCAAGGATGGCAGGAACATCTAGGAAGCTGTCCATATTTTTCAAAAAATTCATTTATTTCTTTTGCTTTATATATCTGGGTGTTTTGCCTTCATGCATGTCTGTGCATGCAGTGTCTGAGGAGGCCAGGAGACAGCGTTAGATAGCCTGGAACTGGAATTCCAGAAGGTTGCGAGCCACCATGTGGGTGCTAGGAATTGAACCCCAGTCCCCTGGAAGAGCAGTCAATGCTCTTCACAGCTATGCCATATCTCCACCCCAGCTGCCCACATTGTAACAAAAGGATACAGTTGTGCAAAATGGGCCTGCACCTGGACAAGGACTTTCAGTGACTACATTGTATCCTTGTGGTTGCCTGGTGCACTGAGGTTCAGACTCCAGCAGTGGAGTGGCAATTCCTGTGTAACCTTCTGTGCTGACTGCTCAGTCTTGCTATGAGCCCTGAGAAAATCAGCTACTGAAAAGATGCATGTTGGACGAAGTTCCAGAAGCCTCTAGAGTCTGCCCAGGTGTGTAGCAGTGTGTGGCAGTGTTTCTGCTTGGCCCTGCCTCTAGACACTGGTCATCACAAGACAGGGCCTCTCACTTCCTTCCCCCTGAACCCAAGCCGCTTGCTCAATACAAGAAAAGAGAAGCCTGTTTCACCCCAGACTTAGGACCTGCCTTTTGTGAGCCAACAACCCCCATCTAGCTGTTGTTTAGCTGACTCTGACCCCAGAAGGATGTACTTTTCAGTCTGTCTCCTCAGGCCTCACCACAGAACTTCTCAGGAAGCTAGGCCCAAAAGAGACAATCCTCAAAGGGACAAACAGACTTCAGGCCAGGATTGTGGGCCAGACCCAGGAGCTGACCCATTGGCTGTGCTCCAGGCTTTGCTGGATCACACAATGATTAAAGCACATTCAGACAGGTAAAAGCTAGAGATGAGAGCCACATCTTTTAAATACAGAATTTTCCAGAAGCCCATGGAAGAACTATTATCAGGTCATTTTATAGGTGAGGAAACTGAGGCACAGACAGGCTAAGTGAGCAACCCAAAAGTTTTTAAGCTAATGGATGTCAGGGCCGGGTTGCAACCCAAGACCAGTGCAACTGATTATTGCGTCTTTCTTCCTCCCTGTGCACAGCACCCTAGAGTTTACAAAATCCTTTAGGTATGGAACATCTTGCTGAAGCCTCACAGTGAGCCTCTGAGGCTAGACATGGACCCACAGGTACCTCTGAGTAAACAAGAAATGAGATGTGGCCGAAGCCAGATGTGGCAACACTCACTTGTAATCAGAGATGTGAGCAGGAAGACCAGGGGGGCCAGTGTCATCCTTGTCTACATCGTGAGTTAAATGCCACATCAGACTTCATCAAAAAAAAAAAAAAAAAGAAAGAAAGAAAAAGAAAGAAAGAAAGAAAGAAAGAAACAGTAAAATAAAACAAAAACTGGCAAGCATCGGTGGCAGGTATACCAGGAATCATCATCTCTGAGGCACGTCAGGGAAGAAATAGGAGCTAGAAAAACAAAGAGAAAAAGGCAGGTGACTTACCCAAAGTCACACGACAGATGGCATAGACTCTAAACCACATGTCCTGAGTTCAAGTCCCAGCTCCGTTACCAATCGCCTGTATGACCTTTGGAAAGTTAACCCTTTTATGGCTCCATTATCCCATCTTTGAGTTCTTCTGAAAAACAGGACAACATGTGGGAAGCATTCTACCATCTTGATTTAAAATGTTAGTGTTTTCCTCGGGTGCGTCGTTGCACCCGTTTCCATTCCTACGGTATGCATGGCGTCACAAAGATCATCTATCCCAGAGTTGTGGACAGACCCTCACAGTTTGTACCAATTCCTGAAATCTGACGGCTCAACCAGGCCTTTACATGCAGAAGGCTCAACACACACGTGCTGTCACTGCTGCTGTAGGACGATGCTGTGTGCTAGCGGCTGTTGTTGGGAATTGCCTTAGTAGGGCTGGGGAGAAGCTCCATTGGTAGATTGCTCTGCCTAGCATGCATAAAGAAAGCCCGAGTTCAGTTCCCTACAGCTCACAGATACCGGCGATATCCCAACAAGTGGCAACAGAAAGCTGGAGGATCAGGGATTCAGAACCAACCTTAGCTACTTAGTGATAATGAGCCCAGGCTAGGCTATATCAGATACTGTCTTTAAGCAGGGGTGGCAGTGGTGGGGCTTTATAAACAGGGTTGGGGAAGTTGCTTAGTGGCAAAGCACCAGGTTCCATCCTTAGTCGCTTCCTCAATAAGTTTTATAAAAACGTCCCATACAGCAATGAGAAAAACCAGAAAACTACATCACAAAGTGACAGGACTGGAGAAATATTCAGTATCTTATACAGACAAAGGATTAGTGCCCAAAATACATAAAGAACTACAGACTTTGTTGAAAGGGGATGAAGGTGGGATTGAACAAAGAGCCTGATGCATTCTGGGCCAGCGTCCTACCACTGGGTTGAAAGCCGTGGCTGCGGGTTTGTGTTACAAAAAACCAAAGTGCCGGATGGAGCAGGATGTAGAGAGAGAGCCAGGCAGCTCACAGAGAGGAAAAGCAGATGGCTGAGAACATATGAGATGCCTCAGCCTCAAAGGTTGCGAAATCTGAACTGTGGAAGTTCATGTAATCACGCGCCAGCGACGACCAGGAAACAAAATCATAGGCTCCAGCAAGCTGACACCATCGTTTGGAGGGAAAGTTTTGATTTTATGAAATTAAAATTGCAGTCTCCTCAGTTGTAATATTCCCTCCCCACTTCACTTTCTCTTTCTTGCCTCCTTTAAAAAAAAAAAACTAACTAACAAACGTTTGAGATCTACTTTATACATATGGGTGTCTTGCCTGCACTTATGTCTTTGTGTGTCTGATACTTGTTAAGGTAGGAAGAGGGTGTCAGATCCCTTGGGACTGAGGTTACAGTTTCGAGCCACCATGTGTTGGAACTGAATACAGATCTTCTGTAAGAGCAGCCAGTGCTCTGAGCTACTGAGACACCTCGGCAGTCCTTGTCTCTTTTTAAAGACAAGATCTCAGCCAAGCATGGTAGCACACATTTGTAATCCCAGTGTTCAGGAGGCAGAGGCAGGCAGATCTCTATAAGATCTGGTCTATGTATTTAGGCCTGCCAAGGCTACAAAATCAGACCCTGTCTCAAAATAAAAAACAAACACAAAAACAAAACCCACTAAACAAGCAAACCAGCAGTGTCATGTATCTCAAGTTGCTCTCCTACTTGCAATGTAGCCAAGACTGGATTCAAACACCTGACCCTCCTTTGGGTCATTTCATCTCCTGTCACCCAGGGAAACTTATCCACTTAGGACCTGGTTTTAGTGACTCTGTGATGACAATAAACTGAAGATGCTCTAGACACCCCCAAGGAGTGAACTGATGGATAAGTTTCTGTATAGCCAGTCATAAAGTACAAGCAGCTACAATGTTTTTGTGGTTTTTTTATAGTAAATCTGCACTAGGAATTTGGACCAGAGAGGTGAAAGGCCAATTGTAATGAATCCCACTGTGCTGCCATAAACAATTTACCATTGAAGCTGGCTGCCCAACAGGCTCCAGGGTGCCTTTGCTCAAACTCCCCCAAACTCACTCTGGGTGGCACTGTGCCCCAGGCCAGGGGAGGAATGACTCTGAGAAGCTCTCTGGGCACTGGGACCTTCTACTGCTAACTCTGCTCTGCACAGACTGGGTAGCCACCCCTGGAACTGCCACCCACACATCCCCTGGGAGTGAGGCAAGCACAGCCACCACTGTTGGCCTGAGTAGAACAGGCCTGCCAGGTAAGATTTTGCTTCCTTCCTGCAATCTGCAAGGGCAGCGTAGTGTTCCCATTGCTCTGGGGCTGAGCTAGTGTTCTCCCAAGCTACCCTTCCCTCCAGGAGAAGGTAAGCGTCTTTCCCATGGTTGCCAGGTCCTGCATCCCAGGGTACCACTGCCAGACAGCAAGGTTTCTCCCTCTTCACTATCCACAAGCTGCTCCTCACAGGGAAGTCATCCCTCAATGCAGAGACAGGGCAGTTCCTCTGAGCTACCTCAGCTCCAATCACAGCCCCTTTCAACAGGAATCCCTTTCTCTCAAGCAGTCCCAGAGTCTGAACTGGTCTAAGATGTGAGTCTTGTCATTGTCCTATGGCCAGTAAAGGACATGGGGTCGGTCATTTTTCTGCTTCTGCACCTTCTGGAAGCATTGCAGAGATGGGGAGGTTTCTGGAAGGTGGGATAGCCTACAGCTTCCTGCAGTGTCACATATCCCAGGATTCAAGTCCTAAGTTCAACACCCCTTTGCTGTGTGACTGGAAATTCGTTCTGCTTCCCTCTCTGAGCCTTGACCTGTCTCCATCTCTGCAAACCCTTTCAGGGTTGTTGCAGAGACAATGGGATGATGTGAACTCAGCTTCCTGATGAGGGTCTGGCATGAGGAGGGACCCTCCAAGCCTGTCATTCTAGAAACAGAAAGAAAGCCTTCCCAGAAGAAATCAGTGGGGAGTCTAGAGGGACTTGAAGAGAAGAGGAAGTAACAAGTGTGGTTAGTGACAGCTGTGACAGGGGAGGGGGACTCTCTCCAGGGAGGGGGACTGCCTACTCGGGACCAAGATGTGCATGAGCAGTGGAGGGGACAGGTCTTGGGAGGAGTGTGGTCTGTCACAGGGCACCCTGGGTAGATCACTCTCTTTAAGTTCCTTGGGTTTGGGGCAGGTATCCAAAGCACTCCCCACACCCGTGTCACTGTGGACACTTTATAAGCCAGATTGGTCCCCTTCTGGGGCTGTCTGGGGCTGTCCTGGATTGGAGCTTTTGGCTACTACATCCATGGTTTCTGTAGATGTCAGCAGCACCCTGCCTCATACATGACAACCAAAAGCAGCTCTGGAGGGAGAGTCTCACCTTGTTAAGAACTTGAGATCAGAGTTAGAGAGATGGCTCAGGGGTTAAGAGCACTGACTGCTCTTCCAGAGGTTCTGAGTTCAATTCCCAGCCACCACATGGTGGCTCACGACCATCTGTAGTAGGATCTGACAGTGTAGT